GAGAGAGAGAGAGAGAGAGAGAGAGAGAGAGAGAGAGAGAGAGAGAGAGAGATGGGGGGGGAGGGAGGGAGAGATAAATAGAGACAGGGGTTGATAGAGATGTACATCCTTTAATCTAACTATAGGTCATCCCCCACCACTCATCCACCCTTTTCTTTATTTGCCCGAGAAAACTTCCCCCACACTAAAATTGAACTCGCGTCTTCTGCTTGCGAAGCCGAGGCACCTTGCACAAAGCAATATCCCCAGTGTCATCTCCGTCTCTGTGTCTGTCTTTTTGTATAACTGTGTGTTTGTCTGTTTGTTCTTTTGTGTCTGTCTCTTTACCTTTCCCTCTCTCCACCTCCCCATCTTCTCTTCTCCCCGTTTTCCCTTCTCCCCATCTTCTCTCCTCCTCTTCCCATTTGGAGTGTTGTGTCTGTGTGTGCATGTTTGTGTGTGTATTCTGCTGCGATTTAACTGTTATTAGTTACATCAAAACACTTTTGAGATAACTATTTTACCACATGAAAATTAATTAGAGAAATTTGGAGGTGAAACGGCTTCGTCCCCTACATCTTGAAGAATTTAACTTAGAACAAAGAGATGGAAGACAAAAGTGACTCTTCTCGTTTGAATGGTTCTCAAAGTACTGTGGCTCGCCGTGAGTATAGAAAAATCTTCACTGTTTTGTTCTTATTGCTGCTATTTGGTGGTAAATAAGTGGAAGCAAACCAAGCCCCACCAAAATTTGGATCCACACATGGCCACTGCCTCTACCCCTCCTCGATCCTCTTCTCCCTACCCCCTTCATCTCTCCCTCTCTTCTATCCCCCTCCCCGTCCATCTCTCCCTCTCCTCTATCCCCCCCCCCTACCCCTCCATCTCTCCCTCTCATCTATCCCCGTATCCCCTCCCCTCCCCCCAACTGACACTCACCTCAGAGGCGCCGTCCTTATCCCTCAACATGAGAGAACAGCGCTCACACTTAAGCAGGCTCTGTGCCCTCTGCATGATCTTGACCACCACGTTGTCCACTGACGTCTGCTCCGTGAACAGGTCGTGAACTACCTCCAGCAGGACCTGAGGGTGGAGGGGGGTTGAAGGGGGAGGAAACAACCAACAGTTAGATTGAATGGTAATCATCTCTGTTTATCTCTAGCTCTCTCCGTCTCTCGTTCTCTCTCTATCTGTATCTATCCATCTCAATCTGTCTATCTCGCTCTTTCTGTCGCTTTTGTATTTTTCTGTCCCTTTATATATATATATATATATATATATATATATATATATATATATATATATATATCTTTCTTTTCTTGTTCCTTCTGCGATTCTTGCAAAATAGTCGGTCGTTACACTTTCACTAATGGTGATAAACTAGTAGTTTTTGTGCATGCTTCTTTGTAAGCACCAATACCCTATTGTGTTTTATGACAGGTTCAAGCTTTATGATAACATTATAATTTTTTCACGACTAAGCTCTATCCAAGTATGCAGTCAAACCTGTGTAAGACGGCCATCTATCGTCAAGGAGAAAAGTAGCCGCATTGTTGTTTTTGTTGTTGTTGTTGGTTTGTATTTTGTTTGTAATTTTTATTTTGTTGCTGATTTTGTGTAAGGGTGACAATAAAACGAAATGTATCAGATGAGGAAGACCGAGTGCCATGTCAAAACAAACACATGGGTCGCCACCACTCGGAAAACGAGCGACGCTTCTGTCGCAAGTTCTTGTTGACGTCCTTTGTTTCTTTGTAACAGACTGGGTAAACAGTGACCACTCATCTCATTTTTGATTTCTATATGAGTTAGGGGCGGGGCTTATGGGTTATGAGGGATCACACACTTATCTCACAAGCAGCTGAAAATTGGTACCTTTTGGTCAACAATGGGAGGGGCCTTCGCAACGTGATCGGTTGGAGGGACTACCTAACAACAACGACAAGTGATTGAATTATGACGGTTCGCCCACTGCGCCCGGGGCCAATGCACAATTTATGACAAAACGTAATGGAGTCACTAAGGTGGCCGTCTAAGACAGGTGTTATTGCTTAGTGTGATAGGGGTTGTGTGTTAAAATATGGTGGCAGCGGCCGCGTTGGACAGGTGCCCGTTTTACACAGTTAAACTATATAGGAAAAACGCAAGGGGTGAATAGAAAGTGGCCGTTTGTACAGGTGGTCGTCTTATAGGGGTGGCCGTCAGGACAGGTTTGACTGTATACATATTCTTAAAAGCTGGAAGAATTTTTTTTTCGTGTTTCTCCTACTATTAGTGTAAATTGTTTAGTCGGTCGTTACACTTTTTAGTAATGGCTATAATCTAATAGTCTTTGTGTATGCAAGGTTGTAACAACCAATACATTTTTTGTGTTTTATCACAAGTTGGAGGTTTTGCACGACTAAGCTCTATAAACGCATGCAGGGGTTCTAAAGTGCTAAAAAAAACATCTTTTTTTTCTTGTTTCTCCTACTATTTGTACTAAATGTATGGTCGGTTGTTACACTTTCAGTAGTGTTTACAATTATTAGTTTTTGAGCAGGCCTTCTTGTAACAACCAATACATTGTTGCGTTTTATCATAGATTGGGTCATTATAATAATATTTTTGCACGGCTCAGCGCAATCCAAGTCTATACGTCTGTGCTCTATAAAGCTGGAAGCGTCTTTATTTCGTGTTTCTCCTACTATTTGTGTAAATTGTGTGGTCTGTCGTTACACTTTTAGTAATGATTACTATCTGCGAATCTCTGTTTTTGCTTCGTTGTAACAACAAATACATTCTTGTGATTTACCAGAGGTTTGACATTTTACATGGCTGTATAGCACCACTAAGCTTTAAAAAAGCATATTATCTGTGCTTTAAATTACTGAAATCATCTTTTTTTTCTTGTTGCTCCTACTTTTGTCAAAATAGGCCGTCGGTCGTTACACTTTCACAACTACTGGTTATAAACTTGTAAGCACCAATAGCCTTTTGTGTTTTATCACCTGTTCAAGCTTTATGATAACATTTTTGCATGATAAAGCTCTATCCAAGTCTATAGTGTTCTTAAAAGCTGGAAGCATTTTGATTTCTTGTTGTGTTGTCGGTCGTCTATGCTCTATAAAAGCATATCTGTGCTCTAAAAAGCTGAAATCATCTTTTTTTTCTTGTTTCCCTTACTCTTTGTATAGACTAGTAGTTTTTGTTCCGGGCGACAACCGATGCATTATTGTGTTTTATCACAGGTTTTAGCATTATAAAGACAGTTTTGCATGGCTAAGCACTATCCAAGTCTATACGTGATCCACAAAGAAGGAAAGTATTTTTATTTCGTGTTTCTCCTACTATCTGTGTAAACTATTTGGTCAACGGTTACACTTTCAGTAATGGCTATAGTCTCCTAGTATTTGTGTAATGTCTTGTTGTGACAATCAATAAATTTATTGTATTTCATCACAGGTTCGAGGTTTTTCATGTCCGTTTTGCACGATTAAGCTGTATAAAAGCATAAAGGGATTCTAATGAGCTAAGAAACATCTTTTCTTGTTTTTCCTACTAGTTATTAAAAATGTATGGTCGGCTGTTACACTGTCAGTATTGGTTAAAGTCTGTGCTCTATAAAGCTGGAAGCATCTTTATTTCGTGTTTCTCCTGCTATTTGTCTAAATTGTGTGGTCAGTCGTTACTCTTTTAGTAATGGTTATAATGTACGAGTCTAAATGTATGTCTCGTTGTAATAACCAATACATATTGTGTTTTACCTGAGGTGCGAGGTTTTATATGGCTGTATTGCATCACTATGCTCTATAAAAGCATATCAGTGGTCTAAAAACTGAAATCATTTTTTTTTTCTTGATTTCCTTATTATTTGTAAAAACTGTATTATGCGGTTGGTCGTTCCACTTTCACTAATGATTATAAACTAATAGTTTTTGTACACGCTTCTTTGTAAGCACAATTATCCTATTGTGTTTTATCACAGGTTCAAGCTTTATGGCAACATTTTGCACGAATAAGCTCTATTCATGTCTATACGTGTTCTTAAAAGCTGGAGGCATCTTTTTGTTTTTGTTTCTCTAACTATGTGTGTAAATTGTGTGGTCGGTCTCTACGTTTGTAGTAATGGTTATAATCTGCTAGTCTTTGACTATGCCTTGTTGCAACAATCAATATATTTTGTTTTTCACAGGTTCAGGGTTTTTCATGTTTGTTTTGCACGACGAAGCTCTATAAAAGTATATCTGAGTTCTAAAGAGCTGAAAACATCTTTTTTTCTTGTTCCTCCTACTGTTTGTACAAAATGTATGGATGTCGTTACACTTTTAGTAATGGTTGTAATCTGCGAGTCTTCGTGTATGTCTCGTGGTACTAACCATTACAGTGTTTTGTTTTATTACAGGTTCGAGGTTTTTCATGGCTGTTTTGCACCACTAAACGCTATAAAAGCATATCTATGCTCTAAAAAACTGAAATCATTTGTTGTTCTTGTTTCACTTGCAATTTGCATAAATAGTGTTATCGGGCGTTGCACTTTCAGTGGTTTTTATTTCGTGTTTCTCCTACTATCTTTGTAAATTGTTTGGTCGGTCGTTACACTTTTAGTAATGGATATAATCTGCGAGATTTTGTGTATTCCTCGTTGTAACAACCAACACATTGCTGTGTTTTACCAAAGGTTCGACGTTTTACATGGCTGTATTGTATCGCACCACTATGCCCTATAAAAGCGTATCTGCTGTGCTCTAAAAAAAAACTGAAATCATCTTCTGCTCATGTTTCCTTTACTATTTGTAAAAATTGTGTTATCGGTCGTTACACTTTCAGTAATGGTTATAAACTAGTTGTTTTTGTGCAGGCCCCGTTGTGACAATCTATGAATTACTATGTTTAATCACACAAGTAGAAGCTTTTTAATAACAATTTTGCTAATCTAAGGTGTATTCAAGTTTACACTTTCTCTGTAAAGCTGAATGCACTTTTATTTCGTGTTTCTCCTACTATTTGTGTAAATTGTGCGGTCGGTCGTTACACTTTCGGTAATGGTTATAATCTGCGAGTCTTCGTGTATGCCTTGTTGTAAAAATCAATACATTGTTTTGTTTTATCACAGGTTCTATGATTTTCATGGCTGTTTTGCACGATTAATCTCTATAAACGCACATTATATAATCCTCTCTCTCTCGCTTTATTCGTTCTCTCTCTCTCTCTCTCTCTCTCTCTCTCTCTCTTTCTCTCTCTCTTTCTCTCTCTCTCTCTTTCTCTCTCTCTCTCCCTCTCTCTCTCTCTCTCTCTCTC